CCGCGCCCGGTGGTTCCCCCCCTGCCCCCCTGCCGCCCCAGCCACATTGGAATCGGTGATTTCTGCTAAATCTCTGCTGCAAGTGCATTTGCCTCCCTTATAAAGGGGCTTTCCAGCCCCATAGCTCAGGGCAAAATGCTGCTTTGTCGCCAGGGCCAGAACCTCACCAGATGTCCTCCGAGCCCTGTCCTGCCCAGTGCCACGATCCAGTAGACCTGGACATTCCTGCCCGGCTTCGTTAGTCTCAGGAGGGATGTGTTGTTGCAGATCTGTACTGTCCCTCTTCGTATAGAGGGACATATTTAACTGATTATCTCTTGGTTTATTTTTTTTTCCCCAAATGAAGCAAAATGCACGTGTTCCTCTCTTTCCCAAGGATCCAAACTGCAGAAAGAAATAACCCAGGACCTCCATCCTGCGGGCAGGAGGACGCCTGCTCGGCGCTGTGCCAGGGCTGGCAGAGTTGTGTTGTGCTCAGTAACGAGCAGCTCCAGGCCCCAGCCGGGGAAACAAAGCTGCTTTCGTGCCTGAGATCCATGAGCCGGCACCAGGATGCAAGGGAGTCTCCTCTTCCCCACGTGCCGTTCCCCGACAGGCCCGGACCTGTGTCCATCCCAGCCTCTCGGCACAGCAGTTTGCCGGGCTCCTTAAGGGTATCCCGGGGTGGCCGAGGGCAGGGTCGCTCTGCGAAAGTGGTGTTGTTTGTAGCTGCAGCTGCAGTTTGGTCCTGCAGGACTTGGAAACCATCAGCGTGGTGTGGAGGGCGGCCTCGGCAGCAGGACCCCACGCTGCAGCCACTGCCAGACCCCTGGGAGGGCAGCGGCTGAGTGAGGTGGGTGCCGGATTCATGTGCCTGCGATTTAGCCACGTGGCAAAGTCTGCTGGCGCTGATGCGTATGATCAGTATGATCCTGCTCCGTCTCCACTGGTCGAGGCATGGGTAGTGGGTATTCCCAGGGGCGATCCATGCCCCTGAGCACCGAATCACTGTGGTTAGTGCTGTGCCGCTCAGCCCAGGGGCTGTTCCACCGTTGGCGTTGTCGGGTGCCTCGCCAGGCTTGGTGGTGTGGTGGTGTGAAACGGTGTCCAAACCAGGTGATGATGTTCATGACTCAGCAGATGCATCCCTGTGCTCTGGAAACGGCTGGGCAGTTAGCGCTGAGGGCTGGAGGGGTGTGGGGGTTCATGGAGGAGATTGTAGCTGCTAAAATATATGGCCTTTCTTCTGGGAAGGAACACACCCTGCTTCCTGGCCACTGTTGCCTGCGGTCCGCCCTGCAAAAAGGTTTGTGTGTGTTCCTGTGAGCCGAGGACCAGGCTCTTCCAGCGGCAGCCACGTCTCAGCACCGGGCCGGTGGTGGTCTGCCTTGTGCGCAGGAGGCAGGTCTGTCTGGCACTTTGCAAGGGGGGTCCACACGTGGTGTGGTGGGGTTTGCATCGGGGAGCACCAGATGGCTGTGACCCCTGCCTGAACTCGAGCAGGGAAAGGCAGGCAATGCCAGAGCCTGTCTCTCTGCTTCCTGCTCTGGCTGCTGAATTACAGAGCTCTGCTAGGATGGAAACAGGATCCAGGGACGCCGATTCCCACACCGTGCATGAGCTGCGGAGAGGCAGCATGCTCGCTGGGCTCCTGCCAGAGCTAGAAGCGATAGGAAAAGGCCTTTCTCCCCACACCCTGTCGCTGGCCGGTTCGCACTTTGGCTGATTCTCCCTGTTTTCCTTCCGTTGCAGGCATCCCGACCCTCATCGTCCTGGACTCCAAGGGAGATGTGATCACGCGGCAGGGGCGGGTGGAGGTGCTGAATGACATCGAATGCTGCGACTTCCCCTGGCACCCCAAGCCTGTGCTGGAGCTGACGGACTCCAATGCCGTGCAGCTGAATGAGGGCCCCTGCCTCGTTCTCTTTGTAGGTATGGAGCATTGCTGCTTTGAAAGCAGAACTTGTGCTCAGGAACGGGGCTGGGCTACCTGCCAGCTCGGCTAGAGCTGGCCACGGGGCTGAGAACCTGCCTCTGGTGGTGACAGTGTCCATGGGCAGGGACACCAGCCCGCTTCCATCACCGAGAGCACTGCTACATGCTCACGTGTCCGGAGAGGCTGTGGGGAAAGAGAAGTCCCCATGGAGTCCCCTCGAGGGATTCAAGGGGGCTGACAGACCTGGAGCCTTGCCCATAGCAGAGACACGGGCTGCTGCAGCTCGCAGAGGTTTGCTGGAGCCTGCCTATGCCCACGAGTCTCCCAGAGCTCCCACCCAGCGACCTGAAGGATGCGATGGCGTAGGGATTTGCAGTGGAGAGGAGCTGTCTCAAAGATGCTTTAGTGGCAGCTGTGAAGAGGAATGCACATTAGGTGTTGAGGAGTATGAGAAGTACGCTGTCACGGTTGGTGGTGGTGGTGGAGATGGGAAAAACCTTTCTGGAACAGGGACTTCAGGCAGATGTGACATTCCAGAGGAGGCAGAGGAAGCATCTCTGGGAGGGGTTACAGCTCTGTGCTGGTAACTACAGCTCGAGGCTTGAATCCCTGGGCCGGGCAGGACCGTGACAGTCAGAGGAGCCTCTTTTGTGCTCTGCTGGTCCTTGGGTATTCCCCCTGTGGGGTGTTGGCTGCAGGACAGGGCAGGCTTTTCCCTAAAGTTCCTGTCCCTTTTCCACTGCTAACCCACTCGTGAAGCTCCGCTGAAGTTGGAAACAGCCCTGGAGCTCATCGGAAGCCCAGCTGGCCCCTTCCTCATCGCTTCCCTGCCAGCGACAGACAGTTAAATCGGGCGAGGGCCGTGGCCAGGATGAGCTATGCTGCAGGCTGAGCCCCGGGCGGGTAGCAGAGGGGTGTGCACAGCATCCCGGGGAGTGAGCCGAGGGGTCCTGGGCTCTCGGAGGGGCTGCGGCTGTCCCTTCAGTGCACTGGGGAGCTGCGGTCGGGCTTGGCAGAAGAAGCCCCCCTTGCCCCCAGCCTGCCGGTGTTGTGCAGGGAGCCTGGGCCCGGCCAGGGCTCCCGTCCGGCTTGCTCCA